TCGGTCTGGAGGCTCGATGCGTTTCCCAAGAGTGGAGCATGCGTCAAATCGCGGCAGCTGTATCTCATTTCCATTAAGTTTTGAAGTGTAGTAAAAAAGAATATCTTTGTGCAAATTTCTTCTAAAAATTTATTATTAGGAGTAATGAATTACATTATAATAAATTAGTTTGAATATATATATATATATATGTATATATATTGGAATGAGATGCATTATTCTGTTTTATTATAAGTAAGATTAAGGGGCAAATTATGCTCGATAAGCAAGGTTCCATTGTAGTGTCATTTTTAAGAACAGAGAAAGCCTACAAAGAAAGATGAACTTAAGCATATATGATAACTGGTTAAATTATGTTAATTATCACTTCTTTTTTAATGACTTAACAAGAAAGTAAGTTTTGTACAATTTTACCTACATATGAGTGCATTTTCAAAATAGTGATAAACATGTTTTCTCGTACATGATCAACTTTTATTTATTTATTATAATATACTGACTGCAGATTGAAATTCTGATAACAAATTGAAGGAATTTTGTTGATTACATTAAAAAAGGGGGGAGTTTACTATCTAGTTGTGTTAGAGGAACTTTTATTATGGGAATTTTAGTACAAAATATTTACTTTAAAAGTCAAATTTGCTATGAAACAATTACAGTGAAAGTAAGTAGTATTGTTATAAATGTACCTTTTCCTGATTAAGATGAATATGTTTTAAAAAAATTGAATCAGATTTAGATTTTTGCCATTATGGATTTTACCCAAGTTTGAACATGTTAAATGAAAATAATGCGGGTTTCCCCTCCCCCAAGCTAACAACCATAATCATTTAAAAAGAAATTCTGTATGGAAACAGAATTAGGTGTATTTCCTTCTTAATGAAAAAACAATTTGATTATTGGTAAATAAAATTTTTATTAAATTATACATATATTGTGTTTTCATTTATGCTGTGGTGCAAAATCACAGGTAATGTCCTCCTCCGTAGTTTAGGTAATAATTCCATGCACACTACTGGTTTAATATACAGTGGTGGCCAAAATAGTGGACACTTTTGGAGATTTTTATGTTTTTGAACTTTGTATGCTTATAGAAAATGTTACGTTTCACAAAATGCAAACTTGTATATATTATTTTAAAGAGAATTTATTACTGAATTCAATACAAAACACAAAATTCAATTATTTGCAATACAAAAAAAATTTAAACGATAATAGTTATTGATATACATGAGATAGTGATGATTGCAGTGAGTTATCAGTACTTAGTAGGAGTAAGTACCCTTTATTTTTGATTACAGCTTCACATCAATGTTTATTGAGCTGACAAGCATTTTAAGCTCTTCTTTCATTATTACATGATGCCAGGAAACAATTATAGTCTCAATTAGTTCCCTTTTATTTGATGGGCACATCATTCGGACAAGAGTTTTCAAACGGTACCACAAATTTTCGATAGGATTCTGGTTAGGACTGTTTCCTGGCCATGACAGCAATTTAATGCTCTTTGTACGAAACCACTCTTTCGATATTTTGGCTGGGTGGCAAGGAGTAGAATCCTGCTGAAAAATAAACGAAGCATTGTTGGGAAAGAGATCTCTGATGGAAGGTAGAAGTTTTGGTTCTAGAATAGTGTCATTGTATTTTCTGGCATTCAGTATCCCATCGATGACATGAAGGCGACCAATACCATCTGCTGACATGCATGACCAAATCATAACACTAACAGGGTTCTTCACAGTTGCTTGAATGCAGTCCTGATGTAGCTCTTCTCCTATTCTACGTCTTACATATTTTCGCCCATCACTACCGAATAACGATATCTTAGTTTCATCACTCCATATAACTTGTGACCACTGATCATCTGTCCAATTAATGTGTTCCTTTGCCCACTGTAGTCTTTTTTTTTTTTTTTTTTTTTCGTTGCTGAAAATTAAGATAAGACATTTTTCGTGGAATTCTACCTCTCAGTCCAACATCTGTTAATCTTCTCCTGATTGTTCTTGAACTGACAGAAACACCAGCATCATTCAGATCACTTCTGATGGCCGCTGATGACATTTTTCTATCTTGGAGACATAGTCTTTTTATTCTTCTGTCATCAATAAATGTGGTGCACCCTTTTTGGCCTTTTCCTTCTTTGTTTTTTATTAAATTTGTCTCCTGATATCATAAACAAAACTTTCGGACTCCAGATGTAGTCACTGAATCACCCACCTGTCTTGCAAGTTCAGCATAGGAAAGACCACTTTCTCGTAACACAATAATATTACATCTCTTTCTAGGTGTCCAATCTACTCTTTTATTTGATGTTATTGCTTCTTGACTAAATATTAAAAATTTTTACAAAAATTCCTACTTGTAATTGCTGTGTATAAGAAACAGGTTCTCCTTCTACAGAACAAAGCAAAATAATGAATTGCTTCAAGTGTAAGCATGATGTCAGCTTCTACTGGCAGTTACTAACATTTGATTGGTTCTCAGAACAAGAACAGTGATTGGCCAGGAAAGCTAGACATTACAAACCACTTCATAACTGTATTTTTTATTTAAATTAAAGTACATATAACTTTTTTGTATTGCAAATAATTGAATTTTGTGTTTTGTATTGAATTCAGTAATAAATTCTCTTTAAAAATGATATATACGAGTTTGCATTTTGCAAAACGTAGCATAGAATTTATAGGACTTGATTTCAGTAATATATCAAGTATTTTAAGTAATGTAAGTTTTTTTTTAATACTCTTGCATCATAGAAAATAATTCTTTTTATATGCTATCTAGTTTATTTGAAATACATAAGAATTTTATTTTGTAGTCTTCACATAATTATTTAAGTACCAACCTAAGTAAAACATTAAAAATGGTACCCTTTCCAAATGCAAATTTTGTTGGTTAAACATTATTGCAAATTTTAAATTATACAAATTCTTAAGTGAATAATTTTTCTGCTTAAATTATAAACTTTGTTTTTTCTGGTTTTTTTTTTTTTTTTTTTTTTTTTTTTTTTTTATTTTTTTTTTTATTATGAGTCAAAATGGTTTTGTAATTTCATATTGCTTTTAAAATTTTTTTTTTTTTCTAGACATAAATGCATGAATATTTGTTTTGGAACATTCATGTTATGAATTCTAGTTTAAATTAAATTTTCTATTTTCAAGGACAGAAATTTAGATATGTAGCTTCACTAGCATTGTTTTCCATTTTCTGATTTTAAAGGAGTTTTATTTATAATTTTTGTAAATAGCAACTGCAAATTTATGAGATGTATTATATATGTGAAATAACAGCATATAGCATAATAAAATTTAACACTCTTTTCAATTTTAGGCAGTTAAAATCTTTGACGACTGTGTATTCCATTATTTTTTATATGTTCTAGGATTTAAATTCAATGAATATTTGTTGTACGAATTAGGAGTAAATGTATTTCATCAAATGCATAAAACTTTTATAAAATATTCAGTATTATTTTTATGAACATTTCATTTCAAATGATTTCACCCGTCTACATTATTTTTCGATTTATGCGAAATTGTACATAATCGAGTGAGTTAATATGTTGTTATGTGAGAAAAATTTCATTATCCTATATGTTTCATTATCCTATATTTCATTATCCTATATCCAAGTTTTGAGATATTAAGAAATGAGATTTATTATGTTAATTATAACATAACAGTTTAGTGTGGAGTTTGTTGTTTTAGGAGACAAATGATTAAAATGTTTACCAAAATGAGAAAAATAAATCTTAGATGATAAATTGTTTCAATATTGTATCAGCAGATATAAAAACATTTTAAAAGATTAATATAAATTATAATTTCAAGTGATCCTTTCATTTTTCATTACACATTGAATTGTTTAGCTATAATTAAGAGTATGAAAGTGCTGTTACTGGAATTACTTTCCAGTAACAGCACTTTCATACTCTTGCTGTTACTGGAATTACTTTTCACTATGTAAAAAATGCTTTTAAATGCTGTTACTTGAATTACTTTTCACTTTGTAAAAATCCACTGAAGGAAATGCACCTTCTTCTGTCCCATTCTGTTTAAAACATCTGTTTAAACATCTGAGTAATTCTCAAATGTTCAGAATACGTAGTAAATATATGAAGTTACTCTTTTATTTGTCCATTAATGACGATTGAAATCTCTAAAGAAAATTCTCTGCTGTGAAATCTCTAAAACAGCATTTATTTTTTTTTCCCTCGGAGAAAAGTTTATTAACTGCATAAGCGTTAAAAAATTACTAAGTTTCATCTTAAAATCATTAATTTGCTTGATTAATTAACACTTATAATAATGATCATGTCAGATAGAACTATAACTGATATTATTTATTAATATAATTATGAATTGCTGTTTTATCCATCCATTATCAGTTCAGATGACAGTTTATGTTCCCACTGTTAATATATTATATAGCTGTTAATGACATAGCTTTGAAGAATGCTAGAAAATTAGCTTTAAAATCTGGTGGAATTTATCCTACAATCAAACTTAAGGTTTTGAATTTAATGCTAAGAATAATTTATTTGTTCGTTGAAGGAGAGGAGAAATTAGTGAGAATTCATTAAAACTTCGTAGAATCTCTAAAGTTGATGCCTACCAGTTTTATGTGGGATTTTGCTCAGTTATAAATAAGCGGAACATTTTGTATTGCACATAGCCTTGTTTTAATAGTAAATGCATGAATAACTTTATATTGATTTTATTTAAAGGAAAATAAAATTAATTTAATGATTTAATAAATATAATTTCCAGTCATGAGAAAATAGATTACAAAAGCACCACATGCGTAATTTTTGCAAACGTGATGGCAGTTCAATGTATGTGCACTCGTGGCAATATTCACAATGCAGTATTATTATGTGTTGAATACTCTTCATATTTTTTTTGTTTGCATTTATACTGTGTTTTCATTAAGTGCTTCCTGCTTTAATGTATCTAAAACTGTTCTTGGCATTAAATTGTATTTCTTTCTCTTTGCATTAGATGCAAGTTTAGAATGGGAATCTTTTGAGCAGTTCTGCTTATGGCAATTAATATCTGCACACAATATTCCTCTTGATTACATTCTTCCAATTCTTCCAAAATTAGAATTTACTGGTAAGAAATTTAGTCATTTCTAGTTTTAGCTTAAATCATAGTAATTTATTAATTTTTCTCCTTCCAGTAGATTATCCTATTTGCAGTTATTTATAAATAAATTTCATGTACTCTGCAATATGTTTAATTCATGTATTATAAATAAAATTTAATTTTGTAATATTAATTTAGAAGGGAGTTTTCAGTTAGAAAATTTGTTTTAAGTTTAGTTGTGGTTTTATTTGTTAGGCGTTTATTAAATGGGAGAGTATTTATTAATCTCAAAAGACTATAAAAAGTAAAATAATTTTATGTTATTATATAATAAATAATTTTGCTGTTATAATAGATGCATTAAACTTCTGTCTTGTTTAAAAGTTGAATTATTATTTTCTAGCCCATTCCGAAGCTTTGACAAGTATTTTACTACTTCTAAAGCAAGAAAAGTAAGGGATTTTTTTTTTTTTTTTTTTTTTTTGGTTGATTTGTTGATTTTATACATCTTATCTGTGTGTACAGTTGTTTCTAACTGATATACTACAGAGATTTATTGAGAGCTTTTTAAAGACTTATAAAGTGTAGATAACATTAGATTTAATGTGTAAACATTTATATTTAATTTAAGTTTATAAAGGGTATAATGCTTACTATTATTAATTACATATTGAATTTTATCCATGTGCTTATATGTATGTTAATTATTAGTTTTTATTTTATTGTATTTGAAAGCATTTTGATAAGTTATGTTTCCCTACTTAGATTTTGATCCATAAATTTAAGGGGGGTAACAGAACTGAGTGATATTAACCCAAAATCATAGTTTTAATAGTTGTTTCATCATTCTGATTTAAAATTACTATATTTGGCATTAAAATCATGTTATAACTAAGTATCCAAATTATGCATTTGCCTTTGAATCCAGATTTCTAATTAGCAAATTTAATTTCCAGTTTGCTAATTAGAAAGTTTTATCACATGTGGCATAAACACATGCCACCTTTTTCATGTTTCAGACTTGACATCTGTAACATTCCTTTAATATATATTTCCCCAACCTGTTACCCTAGGTCTTTTTTGTATGGGCATCTGCATATTTTCATTTTTCAATAAAATTTAATCTACTTGTTGTTAGAAATATATTTTTCTGCCTCTTAGCAATTTTTGGGCCTTTAAAAATGCATCACTAAGCATTTTTAATGCATTAATTGCAAAATTGAAATATGTATTGTATTTGTGTTAATCCTAATTCTATTTTATTAATTCTTTTATGAGTGAAGTTTTACCTTCAAAATGGAGAAACTCATGAAAATTACTAGCAGCTAACTTTTAGGGAAGTGGGCAAAAACATTTTTAGTAAATCTGTATCGGAGCCTTCCAGCTGATTTTGTAATGGATAAAATGTCTTAAGAACTGCTATGTGGTTTCTACCATACATGTATGCAAACAATAAATAGAACTATGAAAAATCAAATTATGTTTTTTAAAAAAATCCATGCACAAAAAGCCTTTAGAAACTATTTGTAGGTGAGTGGTAAAATATAAAATGAAATATTGAAATGTTTCATGTTTATTATTCTACCTCTCTTGGAAAGGAAACAATGAACACGCTATTAGATGTGAACTTCAGTTTTGATTGACAGATATTTTCCCCTCATTATGTAACTCATAATACAAGCATTTCTATAAAAGAAGATTTGTTTAATTTTAACTAGTTTTCTCTAGCTGTAAATTTGTAACTGAATATTTTTTCCTTGTAGACCCACTCCAGATTTGTTGAAACATGTTATGAGCAGGGAGGTAAAAGCAACTGACCAGTTTGCTGTTTCTGCTTTAAATTACTGGGCACAAGAGCATGAAGATAAATTAGCAGAATTAATATCTTCCCAGCTGTCAAAATCTGGATCTGCGCTGAAGCGGAAAAGGTACTGTTTTTTTAATCATAATATTAAAATTGATTTTTCTCAAAATATATTCAGCATTAAAAATATATATTAAGTGAACATATCTGAAATTAAGTTTTAAATAAACTGCCAAAGATTTTTTGCCGAACTGAATTTAGCATCTTTAAGGAACTGCCAAATTATTTTTATTTTAAATAAAAAGCTGCATTTATTTTCAGTGAAAAGAATTTATTAAAATGAATGCTTTGCACTTCCCCCTTTCCAATTATAAACTTCTGAACAAATCTGCATTTTCTTTGGTTTTTGACTATTTCAAGCTTATTACGTATGTCATCTTCAGTACACTTCTGATAAACAAGTCGGTGGTCAGAGGCAAAATTGTAAAACGTGTTGTCAACTTGTTTGTTTCCTGTTAGATGCTGGAACTGTCTTAGTTAAGTATACTGTCTGACCACTGGTAGCTCAGGCAGAACCAACAAATTTATAAGTTAGAAACATGCACATGGTAGAAATAATGGATGAACAACTTTTTTGCAGCTTTCTTCTTGCCTTCTTATATTCATGATTGTATGATGTCTGATCAAACAGTATTTATTGGCAGGTTAAAAAAATTTTTTTTTAGTAACAGCTTTCCATTTTCTTGTATTTTCAAATCATCTTTATTAGCTGATAGGGATACAGACTAATTTCTAGTTTATTTTAATAAATTCTTATTACCTTGGTTAAAAAAAAAATAAGTTTTGAGATTACCTGATATCTGCTGGCAGAGATAATTGACATTTTAACAAGTACTCATGAGAGGTATGGTCTTGAAAACTGTTGTGTAAGTTATTACTTTCTTTCTCCACATGCACTGCATAGAATCTAGAAGAATATAATCTTTTCCATTTCTATTTTACAGTGTATTTGCACATTTAAAAAATTAGAAATCAAATTCATTAGCTCAGTATTCATTAGCTCGGTTCTGCCTTACCAGTAATCTATCATGAATTCTGCATAATCCAAGTTTATAGTTTATATCATTTAAATATATAGTTTATATCATTTAAAATAAGTTTATATCATGCATAATCCAAGTTTATAGTTTTATTCATTTTAAAGTAATTTTTGTTTTGCTGGAGTTGAAGTAATCGATTTTACTTCTTCTTTTATATCATGAATATATGAACTGAAATTCACTTAAAAAGGTTACTGCAACCTACAAATGAATATATGTTATATATATATGTTAAATTATATTGAACATGAAAATATTTTAAATTAGTAAAATAACAGTTATACATTTGTATAAAATACAGTTACAGTAAACCCTTGGCGAGCGTGGGAGTTATGTCATTAACAGTTTGTGCTTATGGCAAAATTGCTTAATATAATATAGCAATCTGTGGGGGGAGACAAGTTAGGTATAGTTCGGATTAAGAAAGCATATATAATTTTTACAAAGCTAAAAGCTACAGTCAAAAGTCGTTAATACGGACTCGTCGGGACTTCGGCGATTCCGGATTATAGATTAACAGTTTAAATCTGGTAAGATAGCATGTAGAAATTATAAAATTAAAAATATTAAACCGTAATTTATGAAATAAAGAACAATTATGATCTAAAGGGTATCAAAATTTACAAAAGCTTAATATTTGTTTACTTTATTAAACATTTCTTTCAATGTAAGTTGTTTAAGTTGCTTCGTTTTTTATGTGATAATACATTCTCTTTAATTCTATAAACAGACATAATTTCTTGTTCAGTTACGAAGTTCCGCTGTTCCAGTCCTATAATTGCTGTGTCGAGAATACCGACTAATTTGTCAATCGAAATTTTTTCGTTTTCAACTTCAACTTTCTTCGCTATCGGAAGCGAATTATAATGACGAGGAATTTGATTTAAATCATATCAAAGACAGAGTACATCGAGATGAAATACTACATTTAGTAAGGAATTATAAACCAAATAAAATAAAAACATCTGCCCTGAAGATAAGGATAGTGCTGACAGATCAAATTCCAGTTCATTGTGCGCCGCGGCGTTAAAGATAAACAAACGTTAAAGTTTAGGTAAACAATGGATATGCCTTTATCCATTTTTTGCAGCAATTCCACTTTTTGTTTAATGAACTTCGAAATATACTTTCGCTTTGTAGATGCTTTACATATTAATAAATATATATCAGAAATTCTATTTGACATAATTGAAAGTTCAAGCTTACTTTTATAAAATTGCTCTAACAGTCTGCAAAAAATAATAAGCCGGATCCAATTCGAAGATTAAGGAACAACGCAATTTGCAACATTAACTGAATTAGATAATTTTAGCTTAGCTTATACCGTCCGTTACACATTAAATGCACATTCGTAAACGTATTTTGCGCATTCACACATGCTTATTCGCAGCCATAAAGGTCTTACGCGTATGCGTCAACCCGACGCATGCGCAGAAAGTTTGTAGCTTTGAAGTCTGGATTATAGATCAGTCCGGATTATAGGTGTCCGAATTAACGACTTTTGACTGTATTATAGACACTCAGTATATACAATTATTAAATTTTTAGGTTATTTTTAAAGTGGTATATTTCTTTTTCCTCTTTCATGTATTTAAAAAAAAAAAAAGCCTTATAATGAATCTTCTTATCAGCAGTTTGTGTAACATTATATATGAAGTAATCGATTTTACTTCTTCTTTTATATCATGAATATATATATATGTACTTCATGTCACAGTTAGTTTCTTTCCTTTCCTGCTTCATTAATTTTATTTGCAATTTTTATTTATTTTTCATATTTCACAGTTTTTTGCATTTTTATTGGCATTTTTAATCACTGTTTTCTTTCTCTTTGCCTCTAAGCCTTCCATTTATTATTATTATTATAACTTATCTAAAAAACTAAGCAAGCTCCCCCCTGGCAAATTAAAAAAATCTGATATGTACACCACATGACTTCCATGGATGGAATATTAAATTATAAGCATTTTTTCTTGCATTTCATTTAAACTTATTGGATTGAATTAAATCTACTTTGCCGACAGCGCATAAACCACAATAGAATAAATGCATTCTTCAAAATTCACTTTGTTTACCACAGCGACACTCTGGCGCTAGGTTCACTTAACATTATTATATTTCGTTCATATTATAACTCAGAATGCACAAAATTTATATCATTTAAAGAATAGACTTATCTAATCGTTGCCACATGTTCTATTCAAATACTATAATAAAGCTAGAATGATGTATAAAAGAAATTAAGCAAACAAAACAAAAAAGAAACAGTTTTTCACAAACGATTGAGTATTTCTCATTCAATTAATTCAGTTCTCACTTCGCAAGAAGGCAAAAATACATAAAAACTCAAAATATTTATATTAAAAATTACGAAGTAAATCTTAAACACGTATTTCCTCGAAAAAATTCCAGAAAGGATTAAGCATGATTTAATTGGCAATAATAAATGAAAGCGTTATCTTTGTTGTTGCAAAGCTAAGTTTCTCTAGATTGGCAACAAATCCACTATCCTGCTGTTTCAAATGTAAACAACAATGGCCGCCATCAAGAGAAGTATTAGTCTTAGCGGCACTTGAACAACTTTAAAATTGTTGATAATTCTAAAAATATTGCATAGAGATTTACTAAAGGCATAAAAACCTTAACCAGAAGATAAGAACAACATGATTAAATCATTTCTAAAGCAAAAAATGTACAATTTACAAACATATAAGGGTAAAGAAACGGAGATCACTGAGCCGGGTAACAGAGTGGATATATATATAAATATATTTATATACGTTTGGTGCGGCCGATTGCAACCAAAATGTTATAGCAGTCCTATATACAAAATTTCAACGTTCGGAGTCTACTCGTTTTTGAGTTATGCCAGATACGAACGTATGCACGTACATACATATGTTCGTACAGACGCCACGAAAAATTCTCTTCAGAATTCATCTTAAAGCAGTTTTATAATTTTTTTGATGGAAAAGAGTATTTCATTCTGTCTTTATGTACAGATATCACGCAAAAACATTGTTAAATGCATTCGATTGCAGTCAAAATTGATATTTTCGTTGAAATATGCTGCCTGAAACTTTTCGCGATTACAATACTTCCTTTTTACTTTGTACAAGGAAGTAAAAAGGGAGAAGGAAAAAAACGAAAGCCTCTGCTTTGAGATGTAATGGAGAAAATAATTTAACTCTGTTTTAAGAAAAGTAACTTTAAGCATAAGTTATGATGTTAATGTGAAATTTTGTCTGTGTTTGAGAAAATTCATACTGTATAAATAATTAATATAACAACTTTCTGCTTCAGAAGACATAACTTCAGCAAATTGAAGAAGGTGGACATCTTGGAATAATAAATTTATTATTTTTATTATTGCCTAACATTTTTAAAAACATTTGTTAGAATTTAGAACGAAAGCAAGAATTGGTATTTTTACTATTATGCTGAACCAACTGAAATATTAAATTTCTTTTTGAAGGATCTGTATGTAATCTAATAAAGTGAAGCCATAATTTAAACAATAATAAAATACAAAACTTCAGTAGGAAATTTATCCACAAAGATTTGGTGTAAATATGGATTAGTGATTAGTGGGCAAAGAGGAAAATTTAATTATAATTAAAGAATACGAGAAAAAGATGTGATTATTTCATGCATAAAAGTGAGATATTTCAGAGAATGTTATTGATTATGAAATTCAAATTGGTTGAGGTGGGGGCATGCATTATTGTGGATTAATGCAAGAAACCAAAAGCGTAGATATTGCTCTCAGAAAATAGGTTTTCCGAGACTAAGAATAAGTAGATATTGGGGCTAATTCAAGATTTGTTAGAAAACCAATATTTGTAAACCCCTTAACACGCATAGTGAATTCATTTTAGCTTTTATTTGCCAAAGCCATAATTTGCTGTAAATTTAAAGATAGATTTAAGATATTAATAATCATTTTGTGAATGCATAATCATATAAAGGATATTTCTTTTAATTTCAGGCAGCCTAGCAGCAAAGCATTAGGTCCTTCAATTGACCAAATTCTTGCACATTTAGATCAGCTTAGGCAGAACTGTAAACAAAATTCATGTAAGTTTACAAGTTTTTCTGAAATATTATTCATATTTCAGTTGTATTTATTAAAAAAATATTACATTATTAAATTTATACCATTTAAATAAGAATATAAAGAAAAAAACTTATATGAAATCATGTATGAATATTTATAATGTTGTGTACAAAATATTTCAAAAGATTGTATGATTAAATAACTCTTCAGCAGTTAGTTATAGACCACTGATTCTAATTTAATAAATAAATTGTAAATATATTGAATGTGATAATTTCTGTCATGTGACACCTTTTAGTAAATAATACAAATCTAAAATTTTAAAATTGATCCTCAGCAATACTAGTTATAAATAATAAATTGTAAATGTCTAGCAAATATTTTTTATAAAAAAGAAAAATGCATTTCACACTGTGCAAAACTGGCACAGAAAAAAAGTTCTCAAAGCTTAAATCACTTTCATCTAAGGAAAGAGTAGTCGTTTAAAAATCATGTATTGAAATTGGACTTGATTATGTGCAGAATATGAAGTTTACCATTTTTACGTATGGTAATTTGAAGCTAATGTTAAAGTAACTTCTAAAAGTTGATGTTTTCCTAACATAAGCTGTGCCTTTTGGAAATTAGCTTTAATTTTAAAGCTAAGCATGCATTATTGTCTGGGAAACATGTGATGACTGGAAGTATTAACTGATGGCAACCCTTGGGAATATTAAATGAGTATAGAGAACCATTATGACTCAAGTTATAACCATAGTTTGAAGTACAGAACAATGTTCTGACGCAGTAAACAAAATTGAAGAAATGAGCATAATGTCATGATCTTTGGAAGTTAACACTGTATTAACTAGAGAATTTATCACATGTTTGGAATGAATTGGCTTTGGAAGAATATAAAATAGAAATGGAAATTAGTAAACCGGACTTCCCATAAATGTGTTAAATGAGATTTTGTCTCTAGGAGAATGATTTAAGTAAATCACATTTTTGAGTTTGATCTTGTCATGGGATATAAGGATTGAAACCTACAGTAGGTATTCAGAATCCATTGGAACCCTGTGAAGAATTATGCAAAGAATTTGATGGGAAAGAATAGAATAAATGAATTTTTATAACAGTTTTCACCTCATTAATGCATGAAATATTAAATACTGTTACTGTATAATTCCAAATATAAACTGATCCATCCATGTATAAGCTGAGAGTGTGTTTCTTCTTCAAAAATTTACCCAAAATGAGCCACCCAGATGGTATAACGATTACGGGAGCCTAACTGTGATACCAAAGGAGCCCGGGTTCGAATCCCAGAGGAGGCATGGATGTGATATTGTCTGTCCTTTCATACGAGATAACGGTGGCCACCCATTAGGGTCCTCCACAAAAAAAATGGTCACTGCTTCTGGCCTTAGTAATGGCCATTGCCATTATAGGCAAGTGCCCACCATATGTTTAAATAATAATAATAATAATAATAATAATACCCAAAATTCAAAACCCTTATGTAAGCCAAAATAAAGAAGGGGGGAATCTGTAATGTTCAGACATATCACAATGAGGGCGAAAATGTTGCCAGGCAATTAAAATGGGTGAAATATTATCCAATCAAATTGCTGTAATGTGAAATGCTAAATGCTAGTGACAATAGTTTTAACTTTAATAGCCCCGTTTGAGGCTGGCTCATTTTCCCCATTCATTTGCTGTCTTGTATACAATTTGTCGTGTTTGTGACTGTCTAATTTTTGTCAGGGACGAGTGGAATGAGAAATTCTTATATGCCAAATTTCAAGCTGCAGGTGATCATGTGTTCTGAAAATTCTAACAATATGGCTGTATGGCATTTCTCCTAACTAAAAAGCAAGTTTGAAAGGGAAGGGGGGAGAAAGTCTTGAATTAGGAAGATGTTGAAATCCAAAAAGATAGTATGCAGTTGTTTTCCATTACATGCGTTCAAATTTGCCAACAGAATTTTTTCTTTTTGAATTCAACAAAACAAGAGTGTAAGCAATTTCAAAAATAAAACAACTCATTTTCATGAAATGAATAATTTTAATTTTCTCAGAAATTAAGAAATACAGTACAAAGTCCAAAATCCGGACTTCAAAACCACCACCAACATTTTTCTCTTACGCTTTACGCATGCACATTTGATTCCCCCCTCCACGCATAATAAAACATCTGTAGAGTCCCAATTCTTAATTTCACTTTGACACTAAATAAAATACCTTGTTATTGAAAAAGCACACATTTTAGCATAAATTTGTATGATCAGTAATTTGGCTCTGTTGCTGCGCATCTGCTTTTTGGCACACATCTCAAACCAAAACATTCCACATAGATGCATCGTTGATCTGATGCCAAGCTGGCAAATCATTATTTATTATACTTTTATTTCATCCCTGTGTGTTTATGAAAACACGACAACTTAAGTAATGAATCATGTAGCAATGGCTAAACAATTTTTTTTTCATGTTAGTAATTGAACAATAAAGGAATATGGTAACCTTTTATGTTGACATTATGCTTGGCGATGATTACAGATTTAAGTAAAATGTGCTAAAAAATTATGACGAGGAAATATTTACAAAAAATTTTTCTATTTACTAAAAATAGATTTTGTTGATGATACTCATAGACTCAAAGATTACATTTAGGACTATTTAAATTAAAAATAACTAATTTGTTATTCACATAAACCCAGAACCAGCGCCAGGGTTCGTATGGCTGCATGGAGTTGCAGAATTTAGGATCCACAGAGACTGCATCAGGTGGTGAGATATCTAGCGGCGATCCTCAACACGGCTTAAGTAGATGTGGGAATTTATTTATTCAGAACTCTGGTAAGCCTTAAATATGTGTAAGAAATAGACATAAGTATAATAACTAGCTAAACTAATACAATTCAGGCTTAATTGTCTCGGAGCACAATAGAAGCAATGTAAAATTTAACGGAACAACTTTTTAGTCGCCAAGCTCATGATGCATAGCCAAATATGTATAGTGAAGGATAGCTAAATTTGATGATGATAGCACTAATTTTTAAGGTTTTCAGATATTGCAAAACAAACATGAAATTTTCCAATTAATGGGTTTTGTAAAGAAATATGGAGAAGCGGTAATAAATGAAGATAATATAAAAGAGGTTTTTCATTGTCATGACATTTTTTCTCAGTCATCAATCAATTAATGAATGGCAAAATCTGTAGCATGGTTCTAGCTTCAGAAAATACTTACTGAAAACAAGAAAATTTTGATTGACAAGTTAGTCGGAATTCTCGAAACAACAGGACTTGTCATGGACCAACAATGTCACTGAACAAGAAATTATGTCTGTCTACAGAATTAAAGAGAAAGGTATTAGCAGAAAAAACGGAGTAACTTAAACAACTTGCATTGAAAGAAATGTTTAATATTGGGTAAACAAATAAATATTAAGCTTTTTTTTTTTTTTTTTTTGTAAATTTTGATACCCTTTAGGTCATAAATACTTTATTTCATAAATCACGATTTCATATTTTTAATTTTATAATTTCTACATGCTATCTTACTAGATTTAAACTGATGATCTAATATCCGGAAAAATCCCAAATCCGGAATTGCCGAAGTCCTGACGAGTCCGGATTTCGGACTTTGTACTGTATATACAAAGGAATAAAAAGGAGGCTGTATTTGGTGATTTACCTCTTGTGCTCGGCTAATGGAAAATACTTAGCTTTTTTTTTTTTTTTTTTTACTGTTGTTATATAAGCGGATCCATACATAAATCAACTTCTTTAATTTAGTTTTAGAAAAAAGTTCCAAAAATTGCCAGCTTATACATGGAAATATATGTTGATTTTTATTGGATTAATTTCCATATCTAAGCTGTGTTAAGCTTCTTTGTCTGTATTATTATCATTTCAACTGAAATTATTAAAATTCTATATTGAAAGCTAGTACAGTGCTGAACCTATTATATTATAACCTATTTAGTTTTGTTATGTACATTTCATTATTTGCGCAACATTGCAGGAACCAGTAGGTAATGAAAGATTAGCATACATGCTAGAATATGCCACGAATCCAGCAATAATGCACATTGTGTGGTTAGTACATATTGTTCCGGTATTTTGTTGGTTTTTTTAACATGCAATCGTTGATATTTTTGCTGAAATATAATTCTGTTTTTTTAATATTGAATGAGAAGGAAATTTATTAAAAATTATAACCAATTGCTGATATTTGTTCCTGAAAGAAGTCATTATTTGAGAAAAGCAGGCCAAAACTTCGTGAAATCTTGATAACGATTATCAGAATAAATGTAATTATAATGGTTATATAATAATTTTGTTTGAAGAAACAAATGAGATGAAATGTTACCGCATAATGAAATATTTTATTCATGTAAGAAATGATAATGCATTTTTTATTTTTATTATTAGGCTTGTGTGTTAGAGATTTGTATGATTATTTTGTTTAAATTAAGACTGAAATAGCAAATAGTAATCAATTATAATGAAACTTATGTCATTTAATAATAAAATTCTGTCTTTTCAGTTTTTAATTTAGAAGCTGTCCAGACAGCACTTATGCAGGTTCAGTCATCTTGTTCTGATGCACAAAAAACAAAGTAAGATATTGAATATACTTTTTTTTTAATGCCTGATTTATAAAACAGGGGGAGGAATGTTTATCACCATTTTTCTTTTTTTTCCATGAAATGTCCATATACATATTGTTACGGATTTGGTAATTAAACTACTACAGACATTAGCTGTTTCCTATAAAAACATTCTACTAACATTAGCTATTTAAATATCAAATTCGTAACAATATATATAAAAATATATATATATATGTGTATATTATATATATATATACTAACTTATAAATTAAAAAAATTATGCAAAAACAATTTAACATCTTATGCTTATTACATTCGTTAAATTTGCTTTTTTAGTAGCAGATATTCCGAGTGAATACTCTTTGTTATGTAAATACGATGTTAAATTTAGCTACAGATGGCAGAAGTTAAATCAGAAAATAAATGTTTAATGGATGATATTTTTTAAAATATCTATTTATACTAGCTTTACATTTATTTTATCTTTAGATTTAGTGACTTATTTGCCTTAGTAGAAGAATTAGATGATGTAAAAGTTACAAAACCAGCGAGATCAGGAGGTCGAGGTAAAGTTTCTGGGCCAAAAAATATGACAAAATCTAAGCCTGCTGTTATGGATTCTGATACAGAAACAGATAGCACAGAAGTAAGTGTGAGCTAATTATTTACTGAAATAGAGAGAGCATTTTTAATTAAAAACATTTTTAAAAATTTATTAATGTATCTGCTATAGTCTTTTCTGCAGTAGTGTATAACCTCAATAAAATATAGTTCTGTGTTTCTATTTAGGTACAGCATGTACATGCATTTCAAGAGTTGTACAACATCTGTATTACCAGATATATATTTGAAAAACAATTTGACTTGCGTAGAATATTTTTCAGGGAATTATTTTTCTTATTTATATTTCATTTGAAATGTAAAAAAAGTCCAGCAATGCTAAGTTTGATATTTTATTGCTTTGTGGGTACCTCTTGGGTACTTATTAATCTGATACTATTTGAAAATATCACTTTCTGAATTTAAATTTAATTTTTTAAAATTATGTTCTTAGATGCATTTGGATCAAAACAACTTGCATTGTGCTGTTTCTAATTGCTGTGCTCAGGTTTTTGAAATAAGCTGCTGAAAGTTGTGGCCATTTTATCGAATATTCTGCTTTAAGCTGCTGCTGTTCTGAAAATTAATGTGAATTATCTATTTCTTTCCCTAACACCCAAATTATGCCAAAATTATATTTTGAAATCACATTACTGTTTCAAAGAGCAATTCTTCAATAAATATGCACTTTTAACTATTTGGAGTCAACTTATTTGACCAGCAGTTTCTCTCTCTCTTTTTTTAGCAGCATTTTATAAAAATTTTGAAGACAAATTTTTATGAATTAATATATGAAACTGAAGAAAACTGAACAAATTTATTATATAGTCCAATTTTTGTATTGTGCAGCTTAATAAATTTTGATTTAAAAGAAATGTTAGCCAAGTTGCGTTTGTGCCTTGACTGTTAAATATCATAAGAGGCATAGGTGCAACTTCTCTGCACCATACTTTAAACCTGGTGTCTCAAACACAAATTACATTCTGCCAAAGCAAAATCTAAAGCTTTTAAAACGGGCCCGATTTTTTTTTTTTTTTTTTTTTTTTTTTAATGAAATGAGAGTGAATATATGTATGTGTGTGTATCTATATAAAAGTAATGATGTAGAAATATTGATTACATTGTTGAGATCCGTAATGAAGAGCAACTTGGCAGTCAAAACAGATTAAATATTAATTTTTTTATTTCAGTTGACAATTGTAGCCACAATTCACTTGGCACTCTAATCGTGCCTACTTCCGGAATATTTATATTTTTGATGTTGTTGCAATAGAAAGAGAGCAGCAATCTACTTTTGTTGAGGAGGAGAAGCAAAATGCATAGTTGTTTCAATATAGAAGCTTATTAAAAAAGGGGTTTTGTTTGAGTTATCTGTGTCATCATCATTATGGAAATGTTGTATGATGGATTCATCTAGAAATAATGCAGTCCAGAAAAAGTTATTAATATTTTTAGAATAGTAATAAGTAATTTAGAATAATTCCCCAATAATCAGTCAAGTAACAGATGGCAAAATCTGTAGTATAATTCTAAATCCAAAAAATATTGCTACCAATAGGGAAGAAAGTGACATAGAGGCTGTTGAAAACAAAACAATTTCAGTTGGCTGTTAGGGCAAGAATTTGGCAGTTAACTGGACTTGAACAATGTAAATAAACAATAAATTATGTTCTGTCTATAAATTTAAAATGAAAATATTAGTACAGAAAACAAAGCAACTTAATAAAGCAAACAAATAAATATTGAACTTTTATCATAAGTGCTTCATTATTTCATAAATAAGTATTTCATATTTTTAATCTTATAATTTCTACATGCCATCAAATGAGATTTAAGCTAATGACTTAAAATGTGGAAAATTCCAAAATTCAGGGAAGTGTAAGTTTGCATATTTAACAATTACATGTTTAGATAGAATATTATAGTAAGAAATTAAATTATGTAAAATTTCCAAATGAATTTATTCTTAAGTATATAATTCTTTCATAATTATTCTTTTTCCATTAAAAAATTGTCATTCCTTCTCTCTTTCAGGATGATGAAGCAATAAAACCAAAGCCTCGGAAGAAAAAAAGAACGTTATTAGGTTTTGATAGTGATTAACAAATTGTGTGTATATTAAACATTTTTAATGATTCATTATCCCAACAAACATTTAAGTGCATTGAATGAGAGCTAGCTGTGAGAATGTATGATCATTGTATAGAAACTGAAGGTAGCCTTCACCATGTGTGAATCACTCATCTCATATTCATCAGAGACGATATATTGTTATTGTACATATTTGTATATCAATTGCATGAAGCCAAAAACTGTGCTCTATTGTTTTTAAATAAACTTTTACAGATTATTTATTAATACAAAATGTGGCTTTTTTCATTTATTTCTAAAAGAATTTCACAATTTAATAGGATTTTTCTTTCTCTCTCTCTCTTTTTGTTTTTGTTTGTTTGTTTTTGTTTTGTTTCATTCAGAATGTAAGCAATCATTATTATTCAAGAGTAAGATTTAAAATTAGAAATAGCTTTTTGAACTTCAGAGATCAATATTTTGAGTAATGAAGAGATTGTTTATGGAAGTCTTTTCTATTAGCTACTAAAAAAGTTAGAAGGTAAAGTTAGTCAGATATTTTCTTTTTTTCTTCATTTATCACACAAGTTTAAAATTTGCATTAAAAAAAATTGAATCATTTTAACATTAATATGTACAATGAAACATTTATGCCTAATTTTTTCATTCACATTTAATATTTATAACTGTGAAATATACATAAGCATACTGTATCTTTTATAAAGTCCTTACCAAGCCTTTATTTTCATAACCACTGATTGTAGAATTGTACTTCTAGTTGTAAAAATGTTTTTAATGATGCAGATATTTATGTTTTGGGATTTTTAAATTAAAAAAAATTTTATAAACATTGCAAAATCTAACTTTTTATATCATCCCCCTTCCTATACTTATATTTAGGACACTTTCATTATAAAAAAATAAGAAGCAGTACCACAGAAGTTGACTAAGGTATTTATTCAAAAGTATTTCAAAATTTGACATTTTGTTCGATTTGCCTTAAGAAGAGGCCAGTTAATAAATAAATTAGAGTAGTTTGAGATATTTAAAATGTCATTTAATGATTTATTTGTGTGTAGTATACGTAAATGCAATTTGTATGCTAAAAGGATTTTCACAAAAGTAATTTAAGTTTTCAAATGATAAAATTATACCGTTCATATTCTTATGAAGTTGTATTACTTTAGTATTCTTATGAAGTTGTATTACTTTAGAGTCATAATCTAATAACTATATAAAAATTTTTTAAATTAGAAATACAGTGGTGGCCAAAATTGTGGACTTTTTTGGAAATTTTTATGTTTTTGAACTTTGTATGCTTATAGAAAACGTTATGTTTCACAAAATGCAAACTTGTATATATCATTTTAAAGAGAATTTATTACTAAATTCAATACAAAACACAAATTCCATTATTTGCAATACAAAAAAGTTATATAATAGTTATTGACATACATTAGATAGTGATGATTGCAGTGAGTTATCAGTACTTAGTAGGGTACCCTTTATTTTTGATTACAGCTTCACATCGATGTTTCATTGAGCTGACAAAAGTTTTAAGCTCTTCTTTCGTTATTACATGATGCCAGGAAACAATTATAGCCTCAATTAGTTCCCTTTTATTTGATGGGCGCCTCATTCAGACAAGAGTTTTCAAACGGTGCCACAAATTTTCGATACGATTGAGGTCAGGTCTGTTTCCTGGCCATGACAACAATTTAATGCTCTTTGTACGAAACCACTCTTTCGATATTTTGGCTGTGTGGCAAGGAGCAGAATGCTGCTGAAAAATAAACGAAGCATTTTTGGGAAAGAGATCTCTGATGGAAGGTAGAAGTTTTGGTTCTAGAATAGTGTCAATGTATTTTCTGGCATTCATTGTCCCATTGATGACATGAAGGCGACCAATACCATCTGCTGACATGCATGACCAAACCATAACACTAACTGGGTTCTTCACAGTTGCTTGAATGCAGTCAGGATGTAGCTCTTCTCCTATTCTACGTCTTACATATTTTCGCCCATCACTACCGAATAACGATATCATAGTTTCATCACTCCATATAACTTGTGACCACTGATCATCTGTCCAATTAATGTGTTCCTTTGCCCACTGTAGTCTTTTTTTTTTTTTTTTTTTTCATTGCTGAAAATTAAGATAAGGCTTTTTTTCGTGGAATTCTACCTCTCAGTCCAACATCTGTTAATCTTCTCCTGATTGTTCTTGAACTGGCAGAAACACCAGCATCATTCAGATCACGTCTGATGGCTGCTAATGACATTTTTCTATCTTGGAGACATAGTCTTTTTATTCTTCTGTCATCAATAAATGTGGTGCACCCTTTTCGGTCTTTTCCTTCTTTGTTTTTTATTGAATTTGTCTCCTGATATCGTAAACAAAACTTTCGGACAACAGATGTAGTCACTGAACCACCCACCTGTCTTGCAAGTTCAGCATAGGAAAGACCACTTTCTCGTAACACAGTAATATTACATCTCTTTCTAGGTGTCCAATCTACTCTTTTATTTGATGTTATTGCTTCTTGACTAAATATTAAAAATTTTTACAAAAATTCCTACTTGTAATTGCAGTGTATAAGAAACAGGTCCTCCTTCTACAGAACAAAGCAAAATAATGAATTGTTTCAAGTGTAAACATGATGTCAGCTTCTACTGGCAGTTACTAACATTTGATTGGTTCTCAGAAAAAGAACAGTGATTGGCCAGGAAAGCTAGACATTACAAACCACTTCATAACTGTGTTTTTTATTTATATTAAAGTACATTTAACTTTTTTTTATTGCAGTTAATTGAATTTTGTGTTTTGTATTGAATTCAGTTATAAATTCTCTTTAAAATGATATACAAGTTTGCATTTTGCGAAACGTAACGTTTTCTATAAGCATACAAAGTTCAAAAACATAAAAATTTCCAAAAGTGTCCACAATTTTGGCATTATTTTTGATGGGATAATCTGTCACTTTGTTTCATTAATTTTGATTTTATATGGTTAACTTATAAAGAATTTATTTATTGACATCTTTGGAGACAAAGAATTTCAATGAAATGCTTTTCTTCACATTCAGTCCTACAGTTGTAAACTTATTTGTACATGGATTATTTAAAATAACCCTTACAGAGATTTATATGGCATTAGAATTCAGAAACATGTTAACAGGGGTATAAAAAAGCAGTTTAAATTTTAGCATTTGTAAGTTGCTTGTGATGTTATTATTTTGACAGTGCTTGCACAGAATGTAATGCCATATATATATGCATAGGTCTTGTACTGACATTTTCTTTGTATAAATATGTAAAAAAAAATATGATAATTTTGTATTTAATGAGTCTTAGTTAAATAATTCCTAAAGCAGGATTTTATAGGTTTTTTATGTGCTAGCAATCCAAATTTAATATAAAAATTACAAAGAGGAATATGTGAATAAAACGGAGGAAAGTATGACGTATAATTTGGAAAATATGCTAATCTCCACTGTCCTTTGTCCCAAGCTATACAGAAAATTGTGTATTTTATTTTTAAATACAGTTTGATGCGGTAACTTCTATTGAGTGGTTTTTATGGTTTAATTTTTTTTTATGCAAAACCCTTTATGATCATTAGCTTTGAAGAAAAATTTGAAATGTTCTTGCAACATCAGGTACACAGGATTAAAGTACTGATTTTTTCTATATATAAAAGACTGACTCTCAGCAAATTTAGGATATCTCTTTAAATCATTAGCTCTAGTAACTAAACACGATTACCTTTTTGTACTGAAGGACAAGTACAAAAATAGTCCAAAATCTGCATGTTGGTAATATCACAAGAAACCCATTTCTAGGCAAACAAATCAATTCACCATTAGGTGGCTTAAATAAATTACCACTGTCTGTGCTGTAGGTAGGGATACTGCTATTTTCCAAACTCTTAAAATCTTTCTTAGTATTGAGCTAGATCAGTGCACACTTCCTATTTCTGAAATTCATATGCCTTTCTGAAATCTTTTTTGATTTGAGATCAGTAATGCTTGAAATATGGAACATTATAATTGCAGTAAAATTCCTGGCCTATAATTAAAATTCCCTTTATATTTTTTCTGTGGTTGGATTGTTATAGAATATTTAGACATATGGAATTCTCTAGAATATGTTTTCTTAGGAAATCTAGTCAATATATATTAGCAATCAGACTGAAAATATGATAAAAAATTCATTTTAATAGATTTTGCTGCTTTACTGTTGTGTAAGTTATCAGTATATATATTGGAAAAGCCATTTATCCAAAAAATAATGTGCTTTGCATTTTGTAATCTTCAGTTTTCATGTAAATATGAAGTGCTGTACTTGAAGTCCATCAAAACTAAAAATTGCTTCAAATGCAAATAAACCAGCCTCAACTTCAAAACGTTTGTTTAAATGTGCCCAGCAGTAAAGTCACTGAACACTGGTAGTTTGGTCCAAGGTTCTAATTCTGAGAACGGGCTGGCTGCAGGGGTGTTTTCATGGTTTTCTCCATGCCAATTTCCCTTGGAAAGTCCTCCACGAAGGCATCCTTCCCTTAGGCAGGTAGCCCTTGAGGCTTTTGCCTTAATCACATAAACCAAACAACATTTGTTTAAATGCAATATGTTGTTTGCATTTGTAGATATACAGAGGTCCTGAAATGTATCGATAAATGCTTGCATCTGCAATTTCTAAGGAAGATTGATTCAATTGATGAAAAGAAAGCTGACCATAAGTATAGAGGGCAGAGGGAGAAGGTGTAATTTAGGAGAAAAATAAAAGGTAAATTCATAAAATAAATGCAAACTACATATACTATGGGATTACTGAAGGCACTATAATGTGTGTGCCTGAGTAACAGTGTAATCCATTTGAAGTTCCTTGTGTCGTTTTTCTTATTTTGCAGCTTAAAAAGGCTAATGGTGAGATGTTTTGTAATTAAAATAACAACTGTAAAAAATTTAAGATTTTAAGACATCGTCAATAAACAATTTTGAACATATTGATTATGGAATAAGGTTATTTCACTTTAAAGATGTTTGATTATATCAATGCCTGCAAGACCATCTGCTTTAAAAAAGAATGCTTTGGTGGAGTAATTTTTGTCTGAAACTAGTTTTATTTAGGTTTTCCAAGTAGCCAGCTTATTCATTGGGAGCTGAAGCTCAGACAAGCTGTATCTATTTTGCCACCAGTGAGCTTTTCATTTTGGGGAGGATCTATTGCGGTGACAAAAAGGAGAACACAAAATTGAATAAATTATCTTTTTATGCAACAACTTGTGCAGTATTT